TGAACAGCGGGTTGTCACGACGCAGGTGCTCGGGCTCGGGCAGCCCANAGAAGCGTGCTGCCTCTGCCGTCGAGCGACGGATGCGCTGCGCGCCGCCGAAGTCCACGTCGATACAAACCCTAGGCACAAGGAAGCCTCGGTGGCCCGTGGGCGGGCGCGTGGCGCCAGTCCTTCGGCGGCCTCTACTGACGGCGACGCAAGCACCTGCGAGCCTTGCGCGCTCACCGACTCGCACGCCCGTGCTCCCGCGCATGAGTTCGCGTCCAGTGGAACTCGCACCGCGGTCGCCGTGGCCCTCTGCCGATGAGAACGCATCGCGCGGCCAACTCGCGCGTGCTCCGAAGTGCCGAGGAAGAAGCGAGGCGCCGCCGTCGCGAAGGAGCGCGGCGCGTTTCGCCGCGGCTGACCGCCCCGCCCGCGGCCGAACTCTGCCGGACGCCTCCCAACTCGAGCACTCTTTCCCGCACTTCCCCCGGGAGGGGGCACTTCCCCGGCGCCCCATATCCACCCGCGGACATAAACTTTTCTGCACCGCGTCTGGCGAGACGCGGCCTGTCGACCAGCTCCGGAGCACCCACGAAGCTCTCGGGACCTGTCTGAGGACTCCGCATGCGTCCAGGCTGGACGCCCCCAGGACGCCCGCCGGACGCCCGGACGCGCCCAGGACGCGCCCAGGACGCGCCCGGACGCCGGCCGGACACCCCGGACGCCCGGACGCGAACCCCCCGCGTCCTCCATTGGCGCTGCCGCTCGGCTGCTGGCGGGGGATGGCCATCCGCTTGAGCTGGGCCATGGAGTAGGTGCTCAGAAAGCAGGTTGCGTCACCTCTGCCACACGGGTTTTGGTACCTACGATCCGACGGTGCGCCGCGCGAGTGGCTCTGAAGAGACGCACAGGGGGTTCTCGGCCGCCGCGAATTGCAGGCCCAGCGCCGCGGCGTACCAGGACACCGACGCCTTCCGCGTCGAGGACATCGTTTACCGGCGCGGGCGCTCCGATGACCTCGCGCGCGTCGTCGCGATCAGAGGGAACATCGTCGTCGTGCAGATGGAGCGGTCCGAGGGCAACTTCCGCGCGGTCCGCAAATCCAACCCGGGCTTCAAGAAATGGTGCATCTGCGGCGGCGCGCGGAAGACCGCCATGATCGCGTGCGAGAACGCGCACTGCAAGACCGAGTGGTTCCACTTCGAGTGCGCGGGCGTGACGGAGGCGGAGGCGACGGGCGACGGCTTCAAATGGCTCTGCTCCAAATGCCCCGTCGTCGCGGCGCCGTCCTCCTCGATGCCCGAGGCCGCGGGGCCCATGGACCTCTCCTAAGCATCGCGCGCGCCTCGTCGCGCCCAGTGAGCGTAAAGATCAAGGGGCTGACAAGGCATCTCGAGGGCCCCTCTTCCACAGCGGCGCGAGACCTGGTGCACTGCTCTTTCTGTCAAACATCTGTCCGACAAAAACAAAAGCACACTTCTCTCGGAGCGGAAAGACAATGGCCGGCGAATGAGCGCCTCGCGCCGCCGCGCGCGGCCTCTACCGCATCGTTCGACGCGCTTTTTCTTCCTGCTGGCAGCTGTGGTCTAATATCTGCGTCGCGAACGCGTCGCGCGGGTCGGAGCGCTGCGCGCGCGCGCGAGAATCCCGTTGCGGATCGACGGCCGCTGCGGCTGCGTCGGCCCGGTCGCGGGCCGCGCGTGCCAGCGGTTGCTGGTGCGCTGGGACGCCGGGGACGTCGCGCGCGACCCGGCGAACTCGTCCGGCGCGTCGCGCGCCCCCGACGGCGCCGGGTCGGGCCGCGCGGCTCGGGCTCGGCGTCGGGCGTCGAGCACGTCGCGGCGGCCGGCGCGCGCGCGCTCCCGGCGGTGGTCGTCGGCCTTCGACCCGCGGAAGGCGTCGTTGCCCGCGCAGAGGGGCTCGAGGGCCCTCTCCGCGGACCGGACGGACTCCGCGCGCGCGCGCGACGCCTCGCAGGCCTACCCGGTCCGCGGCCGCGTAGGCCTTCGAGAGCTTCGTCGGCGCGCTCGCGGCCGCGCGGGCCTGCGGCGGCGCGGCCGCGCTCCGCGACGCGCGCGACGAGCTCGGCGCCGGCGCCGAGGCCGCCGCGGCGCCCCGCCACGGCCGCGGCGGGGCCGGAGGCGCGTCCGCGAGGCTCCGCGAGGACGCGCGCGCGCGCGCGCTCGTCGCCGCGGCGCGCACCGGTAAGCTAGTCATCGCGCGCGCGACGCGCGGCGGGCGCCCCGGGAGCGCTTCGCGAAGTGGCGCGGGTGAGGACCTCGACGCGCGCGCCGAGCGCCTCCGGAGCT